CTAGGTCTTAAAGGCATATGTCTCCAATGCTGGCTGTATCCCTGAACACACAGAGATCTATGGGATTAAAGGCGTGTGCCACCACCGCCACACTCTGTCTATGACTCTAATAGCTCTGACCCCCGGGCAACTTTATTTATTAACATACAATCAAAATCACATTTCAGTACAATTAGAATACCACCACAAGGAATGACTCGCAGTAGTGAGGGATAGGAAACTCTTTTATTTGAGGGTAATTAGGAATAAGTTTTAATCTACGACTAGTGAAATAAGGAAACATACATGCTTTCTGATGTTAACTTTCTCTTTTACTTGATATTACAATTGGTCTCTGACTCTGTCTCCACACTTCTAAATATATTCACTGTTGAATATAGCTACATATCTTTACATACATACATCTTTTCACATGGCTACACATCTTTCTTTTACATACATTTCTCTTCTACACCTTTTCCATACAGCTTCATTTGTCTTGCCTCCACACAGTGACAAATCTCTACACAGCCACAGATAAACATTTCATTTATGTAGATCTGTCACCATACAGAGCTTTACACAATTCCTCTGCCTAACAGCAGCTCTTACACACAACTCTCTCACGCTCACATATCCCTCTTTTACATTATTCACTCATTCTGCTCACTCACTCTTTCACCCATTCATTCCTTCACACTTCTCTCATGCTTCTTCATCTCTCACCTCGCACACACACACTTTACTCAGACTCAGCAACAGCTCTCACACAGCTCTACACTGCCATTTCTCTCCACACCACCACTGCTGCTCTCTCACAGCCAAACTCTGGACAAGTATAAGTTACATTTTCAGGGTTCTACCCATTCTCACAACACAAGATAATTTCACATAGTTTCTCTTAAACTAGTAATGTCACATTGACCCATGCAGGTAGCTCTAGGTTGGTGAGGGATCCCAGACAGTAAGTCAACATTTGGCTGAACATTGAGCCTGTAGCATTAACTGAGGCTGGGACTACATGCAAAAGTCAATTACTGAGAAAGTTATGTCTGTCTGAAGTTGCTTCAAGCTCTGAACTTGAATAAGCAAAATAACACCTGGAAAAATGACCTTCTATATTTGTCTGTAGGGGCAACCAGCCTGCTTTGAATCTGCTCTGAAGTCTAAAAGCTGTCTCTATAAAAGGCTGTCCTAGTAACTGAAAATCCTGTGTCAGTCTGAGTAATGTAAAATATCCTAGTATTGTTTCTATACATCAAAATTATGCAGCTGAAACAGAAATCATAACCTTATCATCCACAACTATAAGTGTGACCAAAGATGGAATATATTCTTAAGATAAACACACAAGCAGGGAGAAAACACCCATAGCTGTTTTTAGGAAAGAAATGCAGTTGCACATGAGAACAATTACAAACAGGAGCAATAGGTCAAACACATTCAGTAACTCCATGACTTTGTCAAGTGGGGCTTCCTACTAGGGAGTTATGTGTCTGGTGGTTCAACTTGTCAAACAGTAGTTGTCATCTCTTCTATACTCCCATGGTCCTTGGTAAGTTGCTACTGAAAGGGCTTGTACAATGGTACCCTAATAATTACAGCATCACTTGTGAATGATGCACCCTTCATACTTGTGTCAATTCTAGTATGCTTTTAAATTTGACCTTTGAAAGTTTATATATTCTTAGAGCAAGACCAGCAATCTGGATACTAGTGGAGTTGTCAAGGCCATGGCAAGTCTCTCCTGTGATGATCCTGGTACAGAAGTGTTAGAATTCTGCCCTCACTCCTGCTGCATGACGGCACATGCACAGTTCAGGAGTTAAGCAAAGGGTCTTGCATCTTACATCACCAGTGTGTACTGGTGACTACGTGAGTGGTCACTCAATTAGTGCATGCATGGTGTAGCTCTGTAGGCCCCCCTGTGCCTTAAAAAGCCATGACTCAGACCCCACCATCTCTCTCTCTCTCTCTCTCTCTCTCTCTCTCTCTGTTCTGTTCCCTCTTCCCTCCACCATCTTTCTCTCTCTCTTTCTCTCTCCTTTCTCATGCCTGGTTCTTTTGCCCCCCCCCCCCCCCGCTTCCTCCTAATAAAGCTCTGCTACTAAGTAGTCATGGCCATGGCGTGACCTTCTTGCACAGTAACCAGTGCCGTTTATCTCATTCATTTCAGAAAGAATATTAAAGAACATGTTGAATGGTTGGACTGGTTGTTGGAATTATTATGGGAATCATTGCATTGATAGCTACAGCAGCATCAGCTGGAGTGCCACTTCATAAAGAAATCCAAAGCACTGAATTCATTAGAGACTGGGGTAAACATTCAGAAGAACTTCAGACTGAAACAAAATAAGACTGATAATGAGATAGTAAATGAATTAGCTGGGTTAAGGCAAGCTGTTGTTTTGTTAGGTGATCAGTTAGAAATTTTGAAGGAGCAGATAAAATTAAAATGTGATTGGAATGTTTCTTATTGTATCACACACTTAAGATTAAATGGAAGCTAGTATGATTGGGATAAGGTTAAGATGTATTTGTTGGGTCACCCTAATTCTTCTCTAATGGTTTGTGATTTACAGAAAGAAATTAAAGAAACTTGCAAAAAAAGTTTCATGATACAATAAATGGACACTATGGAAAGTGTAGCAGATACCAATGCCTCATTCAATCCTATGAATCGCTTTAATAGATTTCTTATCCTAGCAGGTGTTGCTCTTATTCTAACAATAGTAACTTTATTGGCCTTAATGTGTGTTTTGGTCTACTTATGTGAGGTTGTAAGACAACTAGTTTAAAAAATGTCTGTATTTACTTTGAGGCTATATAGCCTCCCAAATAATTTTTATAAAGAAAGGAGAATCTGTGGTAGCGTTCCTGCTGGGCTATACCTGACCTGACTCCAGAGAGTTAGCACCTACCTCTAATTCATATTTTTGTTCTCTTGTTGCCCTCTATGTGAATCTTGTCTGAGAGTCTTGCCTAAGCAAAAACTTGGTTCAGGAAAGCCGGAAAACTGGTACCTGATGAACTGAGAAATTTGCACTTGGCATTGTATTGTTGTGAGCTTCTTTCAGGTTGTTTTGAACATATGGAAATCAACTGGCTAAAGTGTAAGTATTGAGAAAAATAAAAATGCCCTGGGTGAAGGGAAAGTGCTTCAGTCCTGAGAGGCTGGATCCCCCTGCAGCTGTGAAAGGCTAGATTCATTCTTAAGGTCTCTGAGTTTTCATTCAGTGGTCCAGTCTCATGTGAACCCATACAACTTTGTCCCAACACAGACTCATGAAGTTTAGGCCGACCTTGAACTCATAACCTTTCTGCTTCCACCTCCAATTACTGGGATGACAGCTTTCACTACCATGCTCTGTTTATGCAGAGGCCTTGTGTGTGCTAAGAAGGCATTATATCCAATGAATGCTATCTGATATGAAAACATTGATGTAGCTGAGTTGTTCATATGCAGGTCTACACTGAGACCTTGTCCCAAAAACAAACAAAAAGTGCAGATAAATAAAAAAAATCATTAGAAGAAATTTTGTGTGTATTTTGAGACTGAATCTGTCTCAGTTGCCTAGGCTGGCCTAGAACTAACACTGTAGTCCTTGACTCCTGCCCTTTGGCTTCAGCTGCCTAAGTACCTGGAGAACAGGGCTGGACTAGGGATTGAGCAAGCCAGAGCACAGAGACTTAACTATGTGTTTGGGGACACAGAGGTACATGATAAGATCAGATTGTTTGTAGTGTTAGCTTGGAATCCAGAACCTTCCTTGAAATGTAATGTTATCAGTTCAGTGCTGAAGGATGGGAAGAGGCCCAGGATCTAATCCTCTTTGGAGTCTAAATTTCCTGAGAATCTTATGTGGGCTAGGGCCACAAATGCAGTGTGAGGCATTGTTTATGAAGAGAGAGAGAAAAAGAGATACACTACCAAGGCCCACCTAGTCATGGCTCAGCTTCAGCTTCAGTGGCCTCACATAGAGGGTGAGTGAGCATGCCAGGGCTGGAGCTGTGCCCAGGAGTCCCTGGACAAGGACAAGGAGAGTGATGAAAAGGAGGCTTCCCTCCTGCTTACTGTGGGGGCACAACAAGCTGAGATTACACAAAACTGAAGAACCTTCTAGATAGCAAGATATTGTAAAAATCCTACTTCTCACATGAAAAGCTGAGGCACAGAGGAAAGGAGGAGAGTCTTAGCTAGAACAGTTCTGGGTATTGGTGCTCCAACTGGTTATTATAACCATGGTAAGAAGTGTGATTTGCTTACATCTCACTTAATAGACACAGGGGGGTGAAGCCACTCTCACAAAGTCACAAGGCAGTGATTGGATTATAAGGCAGTGTTTGAAGCCAAGTTTCCCATATGTACACTTATAAAGTATTTAAGATTGCATGTATTTGTTAATGTAGGGTTAAGGGCGTGCATGTGTGGAGGCCTGAAGACACCTTACATGAATCCATTTTCTCCTTTAATCATGTGGATCCCAGGGATGGATCTCAGGTACAAAACAGGTTTGGCAGCAAGTGTCTTTACCACCAGAATCATCTCACTGGCTCCCAGGTATTGTGTTTGTGTGTACTCTGTGTGAATGTGCATGTGCATAGGTCACAGGTCAAGGTTGGGCATCCTATAAATTGATATAATCCAAGTTGACTTCATGGGTTATTGGTCATGACAAGGCAACTCCAGTCTCCAGTGCTCCAGAAGATGTGCCAACAGAGACCCTGAGAACAGGGGAGGCATGGTGGCTGTCTATGAATGGCCAAATAGACAAAGTATTTGCTCACAGTGTCTGGTTTCTCTGTGCTGTGGGTAGACAGGGCCTTGGGTCATTAAAACATAATCCTTGTTTTTCATTGCTGCAAAAAATCACATCCTCATAAATTCATGGTTATATTATCCACACACTGCTTTAATTTTTCTATTTGTTATTCTGGCCCTATACACTTGACCCCTTTTGCAGTTTGTTTTATCTGAGATCTAGTTTGACTCCTCAGAAGCTGAATATCTCCCTACTAAAGTGCAAGTGTGGATGCCAAGGTCTGATGAACATCAAAATATTATCTGCAATCCCTTCAAGGGAATATAATTCTTTCTTTGGATTTTTCCCTTTCCAAGCATTTAATTTTCTAAGGAACAATTTCAGCACCTAGAGTATACAAATAGAAGTTCTGAGTTGGGACTGCTCCTATAGATGAAAATTTCTCTTGTCCTGCCTTCCCAGCAATCCAGACAAATCTCTCCCACCCATGGTCTCACAGCCTCTTATAAAACAATTACTCAGAGGCTTATGTTAACTATAAACTGTATGGCCTATGGCTTTAACTTCTTGCTAGCTAGCTCTTTCATCTTAAATTAACCCATTCCTATTCATCTGTATGTTGCCACATGGTCATGGCATTATAGGACTGCTGGCATCTTGTTGCTTCTTGGGTTGTGGCTGACATATCTTCCAACTCTGTCCTTCTTCTCTCTGTATCTCTGCTCGGATTTCCCACCTGGCTGTAAGCTTTCTTGCCATAGGCCAAACAGCTTTATTTATTATCCAATGGTAGCCACACATATTCACAGCATACAGGAAGACATCCCACAGCAAGCTCCTGTTTCGAATCTGGGTCCCTGAACCATGTTGCCCAGTGAAGAGGTCCCTGGTTTCTCCCTGACTCAGGATGGCCTCTCAAGAAGCCCCTGCCCTTTCCAGATTACAGAACTGTTGCAGGATATTTGATCACACTGTGAGCCTTGAGATTTTATTATTTACTCGAAAACCTTTTTCAAAATGTGTGCTTCAGCTCTACCAGACATCTTTAATCCAAGTGCTTTTTGCTTATTGTAAACAGGGATAAATAAAGTCAACAGGAGGTCAAGTCACTGAGTAAGCAACCAGTTGAAAGGAAGTGAACAAGAAAAAAAACATAGAGTGTGGTGGTATTGTGTTCCCCAAAATATTGTGTACCTTAATAAACTTATCTGGGGTCAGAGAACAGAAAAGCCACTAGTTAGGCAGTGATAGCACACGCCTTTAATCCTCGCATTCCAGAGACAGAAATCCATCTGGATCTCAGTGAGTTCAAGGCCACATTGGAAACAGCCAGGCATGGTGACTCATGCCTTTAATCCCAGGAAGCAAGCCTTTAATCCTAGGGAGTGATGGTAGAAAGCAGAAATGTATATAAGGCGTGAGGACCAGAAACTAGTAGCATTTGGCTGGTTAAGCATGTGGCTGGTTAAGCTTCAGGCTTTCCAGCAGCAGTTCAGCTGAGAGCCATTGGGATGAGGACACAGAAGCTTCCAGTCAGAGGAAACAAGACCAGCTGAGAAGTTGACCAGGTGAGGTTAGCTGTGGCTTGTTCTGTCTCTCTGATCTACCAGCATTGACCCCGATAACTGGCCTCAGGTTTGATTTTATTAATAAGAACTTTTAAGATTCCTGCTACAATAGAGAGTAAGGGGGAGTCAGGAGGATAGATAGATGCACAGAAGGTAGAAGGGAGGGACATTCAATTTGATGTATTTTGTTTGAGATGTTGGGGGGAGGTAGGTAGAGCTAGTTTTGGTTTTGTTTTTGTTTTTTTCCTGAAGAGGAAGGTCAGCTGGGTATTTTCTCTCCATCTGAGCTATCAGGCTTTCACCCCAACATCTGACTCCAGACTCTTTATTGGTAAAATAGAACAATTGCTATTTAGTTAAACAACATAATTGTTGGTGTTTTTGTGTTATAGGCCAATATGGTTTCAAGTTTTTATACCTTCCCTCTACCTCCCAAATTCTGGCATGATATGCCTGTGCTACCACATAAGGCTGGGAAAGTGTTCATGTTTTGGTTATCACTGTGTAACTGAGAGAGGTGTGAACAGTCTTTGATGTACCTTATCTAAATTGCCTATGCCTCTTGAGTATCAATCAGGTAGTTTAGATTTGACTTGGATGCACTGGGTGCCCTTTCCGCAATGAAGTAGATGGATAATTTCACATATGCAATAATGGTCTGTGCATGCTAGAGACAATGTACTCAGGAGGAAGAATCTGAAGTGTCTACTGAGTACAGAAAAACTGCAGGGCTGACTTTTGGAGGCCAGGTGCAAGGTTTAGCACCAATGGGAATCCTTGCAGGTCTAGGAGAGTTCTGTGCCTGGGGTAGAAGTGCTGTGTCCCTTCACAGCACTCTTGTCTTTAAGGAAGCTGCTCCTGTCACTTAGATCTCACTAGTCAAGCAGGCCTCTCAAGTAGAACTTCCTGTTAGAGTGTTGGAGGGCAATGGTCTGCATGCAAAAGTCTGGTCACTTGGACTGAAGGGTTGCTAGTGATCCTTGTGCGGCTCTGTAATGCACTCAGAGAGGTATAAGTATAGTGTCACCAAGTTTAAAAGTCACTCGATGGTGAGGAAGGCTCCAGAGTTCCCTCAGAGGGAAGTAGCCTCTAGAAGAGTGTAGGTATACAAACATGGTTTGTAGTAAGCAGCAGGCACAGTCAAAATCAATGAATTAGTGTGAGTTCCAATGAGGACTTATGAGGTGCAGTGAGAGTTTCCATGATAATCGAGAAGGTCCTAAGAGGTTCCTTCAGGTCCGCTGAGGTCCTGTGATGACCAGTGAAGTCTTTTGGGTTCCCCTGAGGTAACATGAATTCCTTTGATGTAGGTTTTATGTCTTCAATTTGTCAACACTGACTGTATTTTAACTGCGTCTTTATTTCTAAGTTTTCTCTGGGGTTCTTTTGATCTTTTTATTCTTTCCCAAATGGTAGTCTTTATTGTAGATAGATGGGAAAATTTTAAGCTAGTTGATGTCACTTAGTGTGCTATTTATTTAATCTTGTGTGAATCATGTGTTTTTCATGGTGATCTTTTGAAATCACTTTTTGATCATTGATAGCATTAATAGTTGACATTTTGTTGGACTTCTGTTGAATCTAGAGTTCAAATGTCTACTGACATAGTATTGATGCTTCTTGTCTAGAGTAATGGAATTCTATCCTTTTATCTAGTTTCTTGATTCTTTTAATTATGAATTTATAGCTTTGTCTACAGATATTCATCACATTTTTATGTGTTTCTGGCTGTTGTATCAATGGTGATATATAAGAGATATAGGAGTTGTTTATTTAATTTATTGTATTTACTTATTTTATTTCAACTCTATGAGTGTTTTGCATCCCTGTATATATGTTCTCCATGCCATTGATCCAAACCTCTTCTATTTAGTCTCCTTCAGATAGCAGGTCTCAAAGCAGCCACATTCTTCACCAAAATACCACAGGAATGGTCTCTCTGCCATTTACTAATATTCTCTTCTAAAACCTCTTAAGCAGAACTATTATTATCTACATTTCTCTCAACAACACTGCCAACATGCTCTACTAATATGGTCCATTAAGCCTCACTTAAAGCATTTAGCCACTTTTATAATCTAAAGTCTACAATCTACCAATAAGCAGCATGGTCTGGTGCTGTGGGATGTTCGGTATGTCCTGTGAGAGCCTGTTCTCGGGTTCCTCGTGGCTTTACCCAGCAGGTCCGCATAGAGGATGATTAGG